TAAAAGAAGGGGAGCAACTCTAGTATCTATAGAGAAGTGGGGCTTAGCCCAACTACTGGGCGGAACCCGTTTCTAAGTCTGTATGTGTGTACGCTTGCTGATCTGCGCGCCTGTCCGAGTGCTTGTCGGCCTGATTGTGTGTGTGACCCGCAAGGACACTTGGTTGATCGGAAGGTCGGAAGAGCTAGTACTTACCTGTGGTCGTGACATTGAGGGTTACAGCGGGGAAAACATTCAAGTGGCGGGGAAAAGACCCGCGATACTTACGAACAGCAGAAAATACTCAAGTAGTAGGTAGGTCGGTACCACACCAATTAGAGGTAGATGTGTCGAGTACTTGAGGCCGAGCAGAAAAAAATAAAATTTGACATTTTTAGAGGCGCAGTACTGGTAGATAGGCGGTTCCAGTTCACGTATCCGGAGTCTAAGGCCTGTGCGAACCATATCAGAGTCCACAATGATGTTTCTCTTCGAAAGGACGAATACACTGGTTGCTTGGGTGACCATGTTGTCAGGAAGTCACTGCCCAAGAGGCAACTCCTTCTCTACATATGGGAGAACGAGCGATAGCCTCAGCCTCAGTTTGAGGAATATAAGTTCATGTGACATGTCGAAACATTTTCAGGGTGATACTGCAAAATCCGACAATCACTCCCTTTTATCGCTCTGGCCGTCAGGGCGTATATTAGTTTAGCTCATCTAAAGTATTGACGTTTTAAGTCTCTTTGTGCGTAGGTTTTCTCGATACAATACTAACCCAATCAACCCCTCGACCTTTTTGGTCGAAGGGTATTACTACCGATCCTAACCATCACAGCGAGCGTTATAGCAACGCGCGCGCATACTTAATAAAATTTTCTCACCGATTTGCCTCAGGCTCAATGGTCGAGGAAATCATTTTCAAAGTGTCGTGCGAAAAACGCACACCCCTTGAACTTCGGACTGGCCCCGTCATGGTAGCCGATGTCGTCTGTGTGGACTGCAAAAGTATGGCCAAATACCCTTGTAAAGGTATTTGGTCCGACAACGTTGAATCTCGTGACCTCCCTCTCCAGCAGAGGTGTCAACTTTCGCACCAAACGGTCGAACGTCGACCGACGCATCCGAAGGAGACCAATGTAATGGTCATTCTCCGCACCGTCCACCGGGAGAAGGTCGTTCCACAGTCCTGCGGATCGTCGCAAGACCCACCACCTCGGTGACAAACGTGGAAGGATACCTGTTACCTCCACAGCCAAAGGATACCTGTTATTTCCACAATAGTGGGCCACAGCCATCATCGTCATGGAGCAAATCACCTCTGCTTGATAGCATATCAGCAGACGGGATCTGGCAAGTTGGCCGTATACTTCGGACTCCCAATATGAAATCAAGGATGTCAAATGCATCATCAGCCGTCTGCCCCGCGACAGCCATGAGAACCACTGGAGCTTGCTCACGATCCATCCTTCCTTCGCAAACGAGGCATGTCGACAGGGAATAGGACACCCACAATGCGGCAAATGAGGGACAGTGGGCCTGCTAAGCAGAAAAGCCCTTTGACACCCCCGGCGCGCTCCCCCCCCCCCCTTTAACGCCCCTCCCTCACACCCTTTTACACCCCCCAGAAGAGCTCAAATCGACTTTCATTCAAGCTATCCTTCAAGTTCACCCCTTTGACGCCCACCCCTCTAAGCAATTGCGCAACACCCAAAGAACGGAAAAAAGGGCTGAGGCCTGAAAGGCCGAAAGATTCCTAATGGGGTATCTAGCTCTGTGCCACTCGCCGGGACTTCAATTCCGCTTCAGCATTCACACGGTACCATCAAGTTAGGTGCCTGCCTCCACAGCCATTGAACACGCTGACATCTATAGCAATGCGCGTTCGTCCCATGTGCACAAACATGCCACCCCAGGGGCCAAGTCCCACTACCTTCTTCCCCCGAATACAACGTACGGTCATTATAGCTGTATTTAGTCTGAAAGACAGCCCAAATACAGCTATAATGACCGTGTGTTGTATTCGGGGGAAGAAGGTAGCAGCGTTGAGCTACCTCAACTCTCGAATCTGGACGCTTTTTGGCGAGATGTGCAGAAATGGTGTTGACTTTCCTGAACTGCACGTCTCCACAAACACGTCCAGACTCGGGCGTTGAGGTAGCTCAACGCTGCTAGTGGGACTTGGCCCCAGAAGAGCAGCGGCAATCCTCATCCTTGTCAAGAAAAAAAAAAAAAAAAAAAAAAATCTTCATGCAACACTGACATACGAGTCACAGACTCCACCCACAGCCATCTGCAGCCGGTCCTTATTTTGGCTGCCGTAAAATGGAAAGGGGGATGTTTCCAAATTTGGAAGAGAGGCAAAGTGGGAGACAAGTCCTTTCACACAGAATATACCCTTCCGCAAGGAACATACCCGGTATTCCGAATAGGTGCGTCCACAGAGTGACATGCAGTGGGTCAAGTGCGGGCGTCTCTTCAATAAAAAACTGTGGGTGCGGGTCTCTTTTTTTGTTGTTGTTGTGTTTTCATAAGAAAAACACTGTATGCGTCCGCCGCGAGGATAACGCTGAGCCGTCATGAATGACGACGTCAGACTGTTGCAATAATATGTTTTTTTTGTTTTTCTATACAATTTCTTCTCTTTTGGAACCTCCATAATATAATTTTTTATCCGTTTTTTAATACATAAAAAGGCGCCACACACCGACGCAAACGGCTGTGGCGAGTCCCTATTTATTTCAACTCGTTCGATTGCATTGAGATTCGAGCACAGGGGCCAAGTCCCACTTACCCGAATTCGCTACTTCCGACCGTAGATTCGGAAGATCAATGGCCAGAAATTAAGAATCAGAGTAAGTGGGACTTGGCCCCAGGTCTCTGTTTCAGCACACGTTGGCCAGCCGCAGCATACGTAAATTCTCTCTCTAAGACTTATGATTGTAATCCCAATCCGTCTCAATTTCTCTTAGGAAATTCTCAGTTTCTCTTATGAAATCCTTATGTATATATATTAATATTATAATTTTATGTATATATATATATATATATATCGTGTGTGGCAGTTCGCACTAGCTCATGAAGATACGGGGCCGAGTCGCACCACTCGACATCCGCCAAAATTTTGAACGGAAAAAAAATAAAAAAAATAGAAATAAAATAAAATAAAATTGAACGCATTCAAAATCTTGGCGGACGCCGGATGGCGAGTAATGCACCCCCCCGGGCCAAGTCCCACTTGGTACCCGAAATCTCAACTTCTGACCGTAGATTACGATGATCAGCGGCCTGAAATGAAGAATCAGTGTAAGTGGGACTTGGCCCCCGCTTCACTGTGTGACGCACGGCGTCGGTTTTCTACCGATCTCTGTCGATCCTCGTACCTCTCGGCCGACGATGACGTTACACTGGGCACCCATTCCCCCTCTTCCGCCCTTCCTCCCTTCCTCTCTCTCTCTCTCTCTCTCTCTCTCTCTCTCTCTCTCTCTCTCTCTCTCTCTCTCTCTCTTCCGCCTCCTCCTCCTCATCGCGTCAACCGTTCTCTTGAAGTCATCTGAATGGCTGTGTCCAGGCTTGTCAAAACAGCAGAGGTAGAAATTCCTCCCCCTTGGCCTTGGTTTTGAAGGACGGAAGATAGGGGGTATCATTTATTATTAGGGGGT